TTCGACTAAGGCTTGAATATTACTGGAGCGGGACTCATGTTTGAGGGGGCTCTTGTCAATCCTTGAATCCAGCTTGTTGGGGTAAATCCAGAGAAGAGGGAAGTCGTTGGAGGGCGGACAGATAGACAAGCGTTGGACCCAGAGGAGTAAAGGAGCGGACTGTCACTTGGATTTCCGAAGAGGACTTGAATGGATCATGTGGAGGTTTCCCTTGCTCAGTGTGTTCTCACTAAATCCTTCCAGGGGGAGAAGGTCCAGGTATCCAGTTACTCAGGAAGGTTTCCTGCCAAAAAGCAAAGACAAAAACTAAATAAGTCTCAGAGGAACAAAGATTAGGTTAGACTCAGCTAATCTCAGCTTGGCTAGAGTACCCAAAACTGGCAAACACTCTGGCGTCAAGGTAGTGACAGCCTACTGCTCAAATACTCCTCCAGTAATGGTCCAACGAGCTGCAGGTGTGCAAGGAGTCCCAACGAGGACAGGGCACCACCTGGTGGTGGAGAGAGAAAAACACACAAACATCCCACACAAACTGGATTTCTAACAGAAGTTATCTTTGTCCACTGATAATGCCTGTCTTACTTTCTAAAATATTTAAGAGTGTCAATAAAATAAAGTTCTGAGGGAGAAACAATACTTCACAGCAGTGTAGCCATGGATCCATGTGAAGCAGCTTGCCTAGTCTTTTTTGACACAAGCTTTACTTTCCCTGCAACTCTGCAGGCGGTTGGTTATAACCATCCCCCTTCTTTACTTACAAAGCTCAGGCTTTCTCTGAAATAGTAACAGTACATGACTAGATTATATCAAAGTTAAACAACAAGGACAACTTTTAAATATTTAAACAGAATTGAGCTTAAAACCATTTCATGTGTTTAACGCTGTTATTTTAACTTATAAAAGCTTCGCACAGGAACCCTGCAGAGTCATTAATTACTGAATCATAATCTAAGTACTGTATGATAAAAAGACTGGAATCCCTGAGCTCTTAAAGGATGAAGTCATTTCAAGTACTTTCGGAAAGTCACTTTTATTTTGTATTAAGAGAATAAATATTTTTTTTAGCACTAATTTAATACCTTAAGGAAGCTGTGATTAACAAATCCTATAAGTGTACTTTTCTCTAACTTGTCCCTATAATAAATTGTGATCTAAATATAATGAAGTGTGATATTAGGACAACTTTTAATAACATTCACATGTTGTTCCAGTTTTTTGTTGTTGTTTTCTTTGTTCCAGCAGCTTTGACTCAGAGTCTTTTCTTCTCACTGAGGGGGAGAGAGGCTATGCCAGAGCTGAACTTAGAGTGGGCACGCTGAGGACTTAAACAAGGAATGTTATGACAGTTTAAATGCACATTGATCCGCACTTTGGCAGGATTTGTGAAATATATCTCCCCAATTTCAAGTTAATAAGGAGGAGGAAATATGCTGCGGTTTAGTTCACTGCTCATGATCCAGTGATATTTGCTTTGAGTCATCTTTTACCCGTAACATTCTCTATGATATCTTGTCAGATTTCATATTTTTCTCATTTCATCATTTTGTCTTCATACCACGGTCTCTGAGCTGCTTTTCTCTTGGCCTGATAGAATGTACACGATGATTCATATTCCTTATCTAACATTAGCTCCCCTGTTCTAATGTTTCTTCCCGCCAGACTGTTTCAGTCTCAATGCTGGCTGCTTTTTTGTTGAATTTGTCACACGAGTTCTGCTTCTTTTCAGAGAAAAGTGGCTTACAGGTGTTGCTGCTACTTAAACCTAATTACACAGTATGCTCAGTGTATCTTGGATGCCAAGATGTGAGAGAAGCAGAAGTGTTCTAGTTGTTCCATTTCACAGTTATTCTCGGCAGTTCTACTCAGATTTCTGCAAATGGAGACATTTGGTATAAAATCAGATAATTTACTTGTCAAAGTGAGTTTGAATTGTGGCTCCCGAAATATGGAATGAAAACAAAGAATATCCTGTATCTACACATAAATATCAGGCAAAATATTATGACCGGCTACCTTTTTTTGGACCTCTTTTCAATTTGTGCTGATTGGTTAAGTCTTGAACATCACTTAAGCCCTGAATGTTTGCTGCTGCACCAGATGATTTATGTCCAGTCAGCTGGGGCCTCCATAGATCATTCTGGTTTGTGCAGCACACCCCAAAGATGCTCGATTGAACTCAGATCAGGGGAATTTGGAGACCAATAAATGGTTTTAACTGGATGATTTTTCTAAAACCTTTATTTTTGTGGTTTGTCAGGGTCTGTTATTCTACTGAAACAGTCCATAGTCACCATGGAATACAGATTATGCTCTAAGAGAAAACAAACCTAAAAACAAAACAATATTTATAATGGAGAGATGTTTTAAGTTGGAAAAACTGTCATAACTACATTGAACAAATGAGGTGTGGACATGAATCTCCTGTAGAAATACATTTTGCAGCAGATCTAAAGAAGTATCAACAGGAAAATAGCATAGTTATAATAATATCCTAAAAAGAAGATGCTCGGGGTTGTCTATTATGTTTTTCTGTTTATGATGCATAATTCAATGTGGCTTTTTGCCAAAGAAAACCTGTTATATGTCCTTTATTACATAAATCTCGTCAGGACCAGAATTAATTTATTCATAAATCCCTGCCTGTTGAAATCCACCATATAAGCCAACTATCTCTCCACCTGTGCGTCAAGCAATCCTTTGCTGTTTCTAGCTTGGACTATTTTTTTGTAGCAGCAGACCAGGAACACCTGCAAAAGTGGTGATACTTTGACCCTTTTGTTTTCATATTTTGTACTGGCTTTAAGTGCAGACATGGAGTTAGGAGCAGCATAGTGAGTTAGAAACTACCAAATACACTGTAAAAAATATCTGTCTAAGAATATATATCATGATTTTAAAAAGTTGTGTCAAGTGCAATTGTCTTAATGCAATGGCAGATTATTGCACTTAATTTAAGTAAAACTTTCTCAAAAGAAGATCAATAATCTAACAAAAAATCTTTTGCTTAGAATATAGATCTCAAAACTAGATTAAAATCATTTTTGTTAGATCTGATATTATAAGACTTGCTTAGAGGACAATTTTGCAGTGAAATAAAAAAAAATAAATAGAAGACTTAAATTTGGTCACAAGGGAGACAGAGCAGTGAACATGGACAGAAAACTGGACCAAACAACAGAGAACAAACTGCTCTGGTAACAGATCAAAGAGTGATGCAGAAAAAAGAAAAGATCCAACAGAGAACAAGAAATCAGGATTTTATATCCTGATGCAGGATAGGAAAAGGGCATTGAATGCAGGTGAACAGACAGAGTAACACAGAGTAAAAGCAGTGAGCTGAGCGAGAGACTTGTTTAAATGTTCAGTTCTGCAAATTTACATTCAGATGCAGATTAGACTCATCTAAAAATAAGGCAGCGTTAGTGGCGGTTCTGGGCTGGAGTCCTGAGAGATCTTGCAAGAAGTTGTGAATTAGGTTAAAACTGACTGAGTATTATGCCTATTACTGCATTCTATATCTTAAAAAAGTTAAAATCCAAGATCTCCCAATCTGTTCAAAAGAGTTAAGCCAAGAGAGCTCTTTGGCTGCTGAAGAAAACATGCTCAACTACATGAACTTAAGTCCAGTTGTTTTGCTATTAAACGTTTTTTTGTTTTCTTTTAAATTCACACAGTCTGGATGACTAAGAATCTTCAAGAGGATCTGAATGAACAAAATGGGTTTTTGAATAGTATGCTTTTAAAAAAGATGAGACCAAACTAGAGATGTTTGGCTATACTGGTCAACCCTGATTGGCACAATCAGCTTATACCAGCTTTCAAGCATGGGCTGAAGTGATGACTTGGGCTTCTATGCAGATACATGATTCTTTAGATTCAAATATTAGCCTGCATGTGAAGTGTGGCTGGAACTAAGTGATGAAACAGGAAATGATTCCCAACAATGGCAGAAAATCAACAACATGGATGCTCAATTAAGCACAACAATAATCAGAACCCTGTGAGCTTTGCAACACAACAAATACAAAAAACAAACTTACTGCTGATCCAGCTTTTACTTCTTACTTCAACTCATGTGAATATCTTATGGACCAATGTTTTAAATAAAATAAAATAAAATAGATGGAAAAATAGAGGAATAAAAGAAAAAGTGTGACTTGAACTCAACTGTAGATACAAAAACCGAACCTGTCTGTCAAACTTTGCTCAAAGTTAGCTTATCCTACATTTACCTCTAGAGTTTGCCTGTGATCTTCTACATAAGCTTTAAAAATCACATACCTACTCTGAAACTTTCCATCAAGGGAGTAAAAGGACATGGAAGTTTGTTCAGATTTCCTTAAACCTCCAAAATAATAGCAATTCATTAAAGGGTCACATATAAAGGATCTAATTAAGTGGCTGATTTAAGCTTTGTTTGGTGCAGAAAGGTGGCTACTGGAGGTGTTAAATATGACATTCTGCTGAGCTGCACCCTAATGACGTGAAAGGCAGCTGTAACACAAGTGTAAATGGAGGCTCTGATCTTCTCGCTATGCCAGACTTGTCTCCTCAGCCTCAATCACACCCTACTTTAGGTAACAGGTGTAAAAAAAAATCTTCAGACTGCTGAAAAAAAGGAAAGCAACACCCTATGAACTGTCATCAATTTCAAGGCTCTGATACACCCAGAGAGATGAGCCAAGACTGCATGAGGAAAAAACATAAATAACTATTTATTTATTTTGGATTAAAAAAACATGAGAAAATTCAAAATTCGAATGAGAGTTAAAATTGTGTCCTACATATGAGCTAGATGCTGGTTCAGTCGATGTGGAGGCGTGAGCTATCTGTGATGCCAGGTCTGCCTCCAGCTCTGCTTCTCTCATGCTGAACACTCCTTTTTTTGTGAGCTAGAGAGGATTGCAATATGTGTGCCTTTGCGCTCCAGAGAAAATAAATGCAGTATAACACAAGCTGCATGGCCAAATGTGCAAATGTCTTTTTATATCTCTCTGCAGGTGATGATCCTGTACTTCAATCCCAGTGTGTTCCGCTGCATCCTGCTGAGATGGGTTCGCCTACTGGGATTCGCCACCATGTACGGCACCGTCATCCTCAAGCTGTACAGGTATGGAAGTTAGCAACAGGCAGCAGGAATAAGAACAAAGAGTGAAATCTGTATCTGAGATGTTTCTTTTTTCTATAAATTATTCTTGTGGTGACATTAAATTGAAAGCAAAACCTAAAAATAGGCAAACTCAACTTCTCACTTCATGCCTCCTATCCCACCATCTCCTACACTTCTCTCTCTGTTTCAATAATTCAGCTACATCTTAAGATTGCATGCTTTCTGGCCCATAAGCACATTTGAATTTCACATCAGGTCTGATCTTTCTGCGTCTTCCTGCTCAAGTATCTATTCACACACACACACACTGATCTGCAGCCTGGAGCAAGTATAAGTGAGGTGGGAGAGAAAGGTCAAAGATTGGCCAGAAAGTTCTCTTGGCAAAATTACCAATTAGATTTTTTCTTTTTTTCATTGAGTTCAATGGGTGGGAAGAGTGCCTCAGGGCCAAACTTCTTATACCCTGAGTGGTCCCACTAAATATCGGATGAAACAGATTTGTCACAGTCTGGACTGCCTACTGTGAGCCAGCTAAACAGAATTACATGTTATTCTTATTATTTATAGTCTTATATCTCAGTCTACAATATAGTGAAAAGGTGTTGATATGTCTTAAACTTTTTTTCATATTTCAATGATACAGTTAAAATAACTGTGGAGGTATTTCTTTATGAGGATCCTGCACAATGCATGCATAAACATAATATGTTTAGTTTTAAACTACTTTAAAAAATAAGAATATGCAAAGACAGTATCTTTTTGTTTTCAGTTAATTTTGCGGCACTATTCATGAATAAAACTCCATTGCCTCTACATCATGAAGACAAAGGAAAAGCGGACAGGTCAGGGACGAGGTTGTAGAAAATGCTAGGCAAAGAGCATACAACTTAAAATGAAGGGAAAAAAAATAAAAAATCTAAAAACTGTGCAATAACTGTATAATAATCTTATAACCATATAAAAAAGCTGTCATAAACCTACAGTATATGCAGTGCTGTGTGGATGCACTGTATATACTGTATACTCCTTTGACTATTTGAGCTGATGTAACGAGTAAATTTCTCCAGTGTGAGATCAATAAAGTCAATCAATCAATCAATCAATCAATCAATAAAAGGTTGAGTTATAAAAATATGAACTCTTAATGCCTGAATACAAATGGATGCCACACTTTTCAGATTGTTATTTATTCAACATTTTCCATACCAAGTACTATTCATACCTTTTCACAATTATGCACATCTATGGTTAATCTCATTAAATCTTTCTATACGTTACAATATGTAGATACAAGTTCAAGGGTTATGAATACTTCTGCCAGGTAAAGTACAGCCAACAACTTTCCTGCTTTTTGCTGTATTGTTAATGGTCTTTTTCAATTTAAACTACAGACCTAAAACCTCATAAATCAACCATATTGCCATTGATCCAACAGGCTGGTAATCAATTGTAGGTAATAAAAAAACATACAAGCTCCAATTGTTGTGTTTCATATTTCAGAAGGTAAAGAAATATCTTCCTCATGCTGTACAGGAGCTTAACAGATTTAATGGATATAGATAAATACAACTGAAATGAGTATGTTTCCATTCTTGTGGGAATGGTAACAGAAGAAATAGTCTAATAATAAACGACTAAACTTTAAATGTCACAGAAAACAGCAATTTATCAGCTTGGACGATGCTGATATAATTTTGGAAGCTTTAAGATTCAGACTCTCTTTCTGTGTCATTTCTCTGTCCTGCAGGGTGCTGAAGGTTTTCCTGTCCCGCACGGCCCAGAGGACCCCATACATGACCAGCTGGCGTGTCCTACGGCTGCTGGCGGTGATTCTCCTCATTGTGCTGTGGTTTTTGGTGGCTTGGACCTCTGCTGTGTGCCAGAGTCCAGAGCTGAGTCGAAGTCTCATAGTTGCAGGCTTCACCCCTGAGGGACTGCAGTTTACAATGTGCCTGCTGGACCGATGGGACTACATGATGGCAGTGGGTAAGTGTGTGTGTGGGTGTGTGTTTTCTACGTGGCGTTTTTGGTCTGTGTTTGAAAGCAGTCTGGGCAAAGGGAGGTGTAAAAAAGTCACTTACTTGGAGACAATCTCTTAAATTTTTATTTCTTGACTCTCAGTTTAAGCATTTTCATTTAAAATAAGATTTTCATCAAAACTGATTAAATTATAATTTTAAGATTTATATTGCTTTCTTCTGGAAGTGTTATCTTACACGTTATGAGTTTAAGTATAATTGAGTATGTATAAAAGTCTGTAAGAAGTTTTTCATCGTAATGATTGTCATTGTCACTAACTTACTAACCCCCACTCCTGCACAAGGACATTGACAGAGAGCTAGGATTGCAAAGTCACCAATGGCACTCCTTTTAGCAGGTTTATTATACCCATTATTTAATCCCTGGCTATTCTTTTAGCTGTTATAATGATAATTTTAATACACATGACAAACAGTATGGGAAGACAAGTTATCTTCCCCATACTAGATTAGCAGAAATCCTGTTTTAAAGCTGTTGGGAAAAGACTATGGAGAATGGATCTAAAGGCTCAATCAAAATTTTGCCCTATTACTGGAAGGCTGATTTCCATCAGCTGCTCTTTTTATTACTTTGCTCTGTATGGGTTTAAAACATCCATGGAGTCCTGGGAACCCTTTATTGTGGATTTCTTAAACTTATTTTTTTAAGTGTTACGGCTGCAGTGGGTTTCTCCACTCTTCCTTGCAGGGTTCTGGATGCAGGCCTTCTGCAGGTGATCTGTTTTGCCCTAATTGGTGCTCGTCTGCTTTAAAAGCTGTCATGCAAGCAGCAGACAGCAGGCTTCTCTCTCTTTCCTCCTCAGAACCCTGTTTGGCTTGGTTTGGTTTGCATCCTGTCCTAAGGTTGGGTTTTGTTAGGTTTAGTTGCATTTGCTTATTTCTGTTTAGTTATTGGTTTTGCATTAAGCCATTTTCTGTTTCCCATTTTATTCATTCCTTTTCAGGTATTGTTTCTTTAGTATAATTTAATAAATTCAATTTTCACCTTAAAGAAAATCCTTGTGTGGTCTCCTTTAATGTTACCCCCACCAAACAAGCCTGGTGGACGTAACATTGTGGGGGCTTGTCCGGGATTTGAACCCGAGACCTCTCGCACCCCAAGCGAGAATCATACGCCTAGACCAAGATAAAAAGTAATGAAGAAAAAAAAAATGAAGTGTCGTCAAGATGTCATAAATTCTGTGTATGATGTGACTAAAACAGGGAGAATAAAAACTTTGAATTTTCTTGGCTGTACCGAAGTAAGATATCCACTCCTAAATGAAAACTTTACCAAAAAAACCCAAATGTACCTTTAATAAGATGGTCCCTTTATGCCATGTCCTTATGTTGTCATTCTCTTTGCTAGAATTGAAGATTTCCTTACTCTTGATACTGAGGAAAGAGAGGGACTCATTCTTAATTCATGTATCTGGATAAAAGAAAAAATATCAATCTGTCCTCTGGTAGCTTGGTACTATAGTGACTTTTATCCAGAACCTTCAAAGTTGTAATACAGTTGATGTAAAAAATGGAAAAGGTTTGGACATTTCTTATGCGGTTTTAGTCGGCTCATAAGGAAATGGCTCAGTGGCTCTTTGGTTCCAGTTTCCTTCTCTTTACATTTTTATTCACTGGTTTCTCACCCTGATAAAGTGGTGGTGATTCCAGTTACTGAATAGCTTACACTATTTTGATGTTTTCTTTTGCAATGCCAGGACACCCTCTATAGGGTTACTTCGATGACAAATTGTTGTGTCTCCTGGTAGGTATCTAGTAGCTGTTGTAGGTTGGTTGATGATCTGGGCCTTTTTATTGTTTTCCTTTATATTTTTTTTTGCAATTTGCAACTCCTTGTTAGTTTGTTAAGGTACTGATCCCAGGGGGAGTGTTGGCCAAGTGGTTAGAGGTGTGTTTGTGCTCTGAGAAGGTTGCAAGTACCCGGTTTGATCCCCACAGCCTCCACTCTGGGTCCCTGAGCAAGACCCTTCACCCACAATTGCTCCTTCGGCACCACATGCTCAATTTTCAAAACAGAAAATGTATTCACCATTTTTCCATATACCTACAATGAAAACAAGTATTCCAAGGTTTGGGTGTATGGTTACAAAATGGTATGTTTACAAGGACCAAATTGTGGTAGAGAAGAGAAACAGAAATATGTGATAACAAAATGTAGGGGACTGGTGGCCTAGTGATAAGAGCAATAGGTCTTGGAATCCTGAGGTTGTGACTTTGAAACCCACTCCCAAAAACTGCCACTATGGGTCCCTGAGCAAAGACCTTTAACCCCACACTGCTGCCCTGGGTGCTGCACAATGGCAGCCCACTGCTACCCAAGGGCATGGGTTAAAGGCAGAGACTGAATTTCATTACGCTGTTCTAATGACAGTGTAATGACAATAAAACGCTTGTAATAAAAACAACAAAAAAACAAACTGTAGCTAATGTGTTTGTACAGTGGTGTTATGTTCCCCCTAAAGGTGTTTACGCTCTGAGCTTATTCACTGTTTGTATGCCTGAAGTGATAACTCTTTTTATAATGCTTAAATAACACTTCTTCTTATCCAGGGTTCCCATACCTTTATTTAAATCAAATTTAAAGACTCTTCAAGGACCTTCAAGGACCAATTATCTAAAATTCAAGGACCAGCAGCTACTGCTACTGCTGAACATCCAGCCATCCATCCACTTTCTCTCTTTATACCAGCTGGCGTTGCGAAGGGTGCTGGTGCCTATCTCTTTCTACGGGGGAGAGGCGGGGTACACCCTGGACAGGTCGCCAGTCTATCACAGGGCAACACAGAGACAAACAGGACAAACAAACATTCATGTACACACACTTACACCTAAGGACAAGACCAGTCTTATTTTTGGACTGCGGGAGGAAGCTTGAGTACTGCTGAACATGTTACTGATAAATGTTTTTGATCAAAAGTTAATCTGAAAAAATGTCATCAAAATTGTTTGGAGAGATTTAAAGAAATTGCCTGCATTGATAATGGTAATATTCATGACCTACATTCATTTCTGCAATGCATGAAAATGTCTAATGATTGAGAGAGGAGGCTTTTTTTAAGCTTAAAAATTTTCAACAAATGTGGTGAAACATTGATTAATTTTTTTCAAGAATGTCGTGAATAAGTGCTAGTGAATAAGCATCGGTAAAAAGCAGTATACAGAAAATAATTCTACTTATAAAAAAGTGAAATAAAAAGTTGTATTTCTAATAGAAAATCTTGCCAAAATAAATCCTAATTTTAAAAACACAATCCCTTTAAACAAAATGTCAAACGCAGCGTCACTCCATTTTAATACAATCTTTAACTGGGAGCATGTGAAATACAGACAGATGGGGCTCAATGCAAGCTGGACATTACAAGATAAGGCCATCCTAAATACATTAGGGTTCTCAAATTGATTAATAGTTCAGCATATTAGGGCTGACTAAAGAAGGTTTCATTCTTTAAGACAGGTCCAACACCATGCACTTTCAGAGTAAAGCCTGCAAATGTCACAATGATGGTAGGACACTGTCAATACTGAGCTGGACAAAGCAGCTCTGTCTCTGCTCTCTTCTTTGATCAGTTTGCTGCAGGCTCAGCACAAACAAATACAGTTTTTTTTTTTTTTGGGGTCCTCTGATGACCATTCAGCATACTCTAGCTGTCGTTGGCAAGCCATGCATCCTGAGATTTGCATTTCCCATGCATTGCATTACACACTGACTTAATGCCTTATTCAAAGTGACTGGCAATTCAAAACGTTCACCTACAAAAACATTGCACACACCAATGCATTTGCTTTTACATGCACATAAATTGCCATTTTCAAAAAATACACAACACAAGCAGCAACGAACAAATAAAAAATAATGGCATATTAGTATTTGACATACGTGTCAACCCTCACCCCAGAAAAATTTAAATAAGATTCAAGGACTTTAAAAGGCAGCTATCTGTTCATTAATCTGGCATAAACCAGATTGAAATATATAGTTTAATTTGAAATTTTTTACACTATCTATCTGTAATGCCCCCTATGGAAAGTGTTTACAAAAGGGAGGAACCTTCAGTACAATTATCAAGCTGATTGGGTAAATCACCAAGTGGCACCTGCTTCCCATGTCAAGCTTTTACCCAATCACTGCAGCAGTAGCAGCTGTGATGCATAACATTGTCAATTTTTTTTTTTTTTTTACAACCAGCAGAGTTAACTTATAAATAAACTCTCACCAAGTCTGGTTGGGTGGAAAGGGCAAACATCTTTCCCATCCACAAAGGCACAAATTGCATGTTTTTGCTGCAAGGGCCGCACTGCTACATGCAGCCAAATGACCTAACTTTAACTTTTACATTTCATAATTTCCTGATTTTTCTGCTCCACTGACCAAGGGAAAATTATAACTACTTGAAGACTTCCAAAGAAAAAGCTGAAACTTCTAATTTTTACTGTTTCAATTGGTAAACATTATGGTGTATTTCTGTTGGCGGAGCATAGCTGAAGGCAGAAATATCTCCCGGAGGGCTTTATCAATGCTAACTAGCAGGGTTGTTTTAGCTAACTTTGTTAGCTAAAACAAAATACAACTGTAGAAAATCTGATTTTATTTGAATACGTTGTCTAAGCTTGTGGTAGGCTGTGCAGTGACATGGCTATAGCAAGAATGTCCTGGGTTTGATTCCTGGCGCAGGGTTTGCATGTTCTCCCTGTGGATGCGTAGGTTCTCACAAGGTACTCCTGCTTCCTTCAGAGGTCCAAAAGCACTGATAGGTTAATTTCCTTCTATAAATTGTCTTTAGGTTTGAGCGCGTGTGTCCATAGTTGTACGTCTTTATGTTGCCCTGTGACAGACTGGCAACCTGTACAGTGTGTACCCCACCTTTCACCCATAGATTGCGATGGATAAGCATTGGCCTCCACTGATGGAATAAGGAGGGAGAACATGGATGGATAATTATTACATTT